GACAGGGTCTAAATGAGGGTTCTTGTTATCCTGGGAAGGTAAGTGGAGCATGTTGCTGGAGCCCACCTTCTAGATACACCAAAGCACACACACAGATCCCTCAAGTCCTTTCCTTCTTTATAAAAGCAAAGCAAATGATTCAATCCAGTTATCTTCACTTCCACATGGGAAGCACCTGAGCGGATACCACAGTGGAGCCCAATCAGAAGGCAGTTTCTTCTCCACCATGCACAGACCAATAAGTATGGAGAAGAAGCAGCCATCTTTGGGCCAGGGCGAGATAAGAAGAAGCTGACCCTAAGCACTGTAGGGAGGAAAGAAAAGACTGGATTGTCGATGATACCATGGAGCCACCTCTCAACCCTTGACCACCTGAGGCTGGGCTTCCTGCTCTCAAGTTAAGTTTTGAATTTGGGTGTCTGTCCTGAGAAATGGAATACAGGCAGTATAGATGGTCCAGTTCCTTGCAGGAACACTCCCTTGTGAAAGTAACCTTGGCCTTGGACACAGCGAGAGGTTACAAATGGATGCAAGGTAAAGACTGAGGAAAAGGAAGCTCTTAGCCAGGGCAGAGTGACTAACACAGAATTCAATCCAACTTGGGCTTTGACTCCATGGAACCCTGGCTGTAACTGGTTTGTCCTCAGTGAGAAAGTTGAAAGTGTGCTGGTTGGCAGGGCTGTCATGAAAGAGACAAGCTTCTTGGAACAGGTAGGAGAAGGAAGGCAAGACAAAGAGTCATCAGATCCTGGATGCTTAAGGGACTCATCCACTTCCCTTTCCTCTTGACTGGTAAGAATGAGCCTTAGCAGCCTTTAACACGGAAGTCAGACTTCCTGTGTACTCTCATCCACTAACGCCTTCTCTCAATGGTCGCTGTGGACTGATTTCTTAAACAGAAAGCTCGCTTGCTCTTGGACTATAAGAAAGTGGCCTTCGGCCCACAAGCAGCACCAGACCATCAGGGAACTTCTTGTATGAAATTTATCTTCTTCTCCATCATTTAATGGCTGCCCAAGTACAAAACGTCCCTCTGTTGTGGTGGCTGATAATGCGATGAGGCTCCATCCCCTCTGTGAGCTAATGACATTTGTGGGGCGATGACAGGTGGGGATGAAAATGGAATCGGATGGGGAGGGGGCAGTCGCTGGCTCTCTTCCCTGCTCATTGCTGCTTCTGTCACTTCACTCCCAAAGAAGTGCGTGGGTGGGTATCTATTAGTCTGTGCATCAGAATTTTCATCTAATTTCATAATGAAGATGTTGCTCCATCAGATACAGACGACATGTCAGCAGAAATGCAGAAGGCCATTTTTATGTGTCAGCTGGCTCTCAGCAGGGCCCCCACCTGCCTGGAAGAGTGTACAGCATGCTGATTTGAGGGGACGGCTCCGCCAGGCAGGACTGAGCACCACAGACATGCCAGTTCTTTGTTCTCTTTCCTGGTGACCTGTTCTTCTCCGGTTGGAAGCTCTATGAGGACAGGAGGCAGTCTGCCTGTGGGTTGCACATCTGTGTGTGGAACGTGGAATATACTCAGCTTACATGCATGGTGACCAGGTTTCCGGGACTCAGTCTCCTATGCAGCAACTCCAATAAGTCAAGCCTACCTCTGAGGACTGTCATTTCCTTTGGAAAAGAGACCTGTCTTTGTTAGGGATTCTGTTGCTGTGAAGAGACACCATGGCCAAGGCAACTCTTATAAAGGAAAAGATTTAATCAGGGTGACTCCCTTATAGTTTAGAGGTTTAGTCTCCTATTGTCAGGGTGGGAAGCAAGGCAACATGGAGGCAGATATGGTGCTGGAGACGAAGCTAAGACACCTACATCTTGACTTGCAGACAACAGGAAGTGGCCTGAGACACAGGGGAGTATCTTGAGCACAGATGAGACCTCAAAGCCCACCACCACAGTGACACACTTGCTCTAACAAGACCACACCTACTCCAACAGGCCACACCTCCTAATTGTCTCACTTCTTCCCAACCACCTCAAGGTCACAATAGCTGACCCAGTGTGGTGTCAAGAATCTCAGCATCAAGGCAACTCAGCTGTCACCCAGCTGTAAACCTGTGTTCATGTTCTGAAATGCTCTGTGCCTTAGTGGCCCCTTTCCTGGAGGCTGATATTTAAGGAACCTGCCTGCTTTGTAATTGCCATTGAGGATGAATGGGATAAAGCATGATAGGGCTGAAGATGGCATGTGGCACATGCCAGCCACTCAGTAATATTAGCAAACATGAATTCTTTCAAGAAAGCTAAGCTTTCTCCCCACCCCTTGCTCCAGTGTCTGAGTCTTTATTTTCCTGGGAATCCTGCAGTACCTGCAGGAACTGTCAATCCATTTCTCAAGGCCACACTACTGTCCCACCTCAAGACAAGATGCTAACTAACACTTCGAGCTTCTTGTAACATGGGTGCCATAGTGCGGAAGTTAAACTCCCTGTAATGAGCCAACCATCCCAATTTTGCATTTTTTTCAATCTATGAGACTCCATATGTACTAAGCATGTCAAATATGTCAGTTCCCCTATCTGTTTTAAATGGGGAATGATACTATCATATCATTTATCATAGTATCATGATAAATGATACTATCTAGTTCCTGGGATTGCTGTAAAGATCAAATGAACTAATTGTCACTAAGAGTTTAAAATAGCTCCTGAGCAAGTAATCTGTATGTCCTGAGCAAGTAGTCTGTAGCTAATGACTATTTCTGTCTGTAGCTACCATGTAGCCACCACTCCCATTGTACAAAACCTTCCAGTCGGTTCCACACAGGTTGGGGACTCTCCCCTGCTGCCATCTAGCTAAGGATAGCAGGTCCTTGTGAGCATGAAGATGTAATGCTTTGTTTTCCTGGGTAGGTGACCTTGAGCGTCTGTTCCAAAAAAGTACCCGTGATAGAGTTGGGGACATAGGATCCTTTGGGACAGTAGCTTGTCGTTTTCTCCTTAACACCTTCTGCTTTAATATTTCAGACACTGAACTTCAGCCAAAGAGACTGAGTACCTGACTGGAAGTCACAAAAAATGAGTCCTGGTCTGCATTCTGGAGCTGGTTGTACGGCAGTGAAAATCAATTCTATTAAGACTTCTATTTCCTTAGCAACAGGGAAAGACTGCTTTGTTTTCTTATTTAATCCAGAGGTTTTTGAGCCTAACTCTAGGGTATTTGAGATTCTCTTTGTGGTCTGAACAGGACCTGATACCCAGAGACAGACCTAGGGCACTTAGCGAGCTGGGGGTTCTGCTTGGATTTCATGCCATTCTTTGGAACAGTCCTCTGTCCCCAGCTTTCGCCAGGTGACTTGAGGTATCCTGACCTTTGAGTGTGGACCATTAACGTTCTGACTTTTTCTTCTTAATTACTTGAGATTTTATAATTGGCACAAAAAGGTTATGTGCTTGTGTGTCAGTCCTGACAAGCTGCAAACAGCCCTATCAGAATGTCTGATTTCCTCACTGGTGAGAGCTGCCTGGAAGACTCTGGGTATGGGAGGCCGGGGGTGAGAAGACCTTTCTTGTGCAGGTGTGTATACCAAGATAGGACATAGATCTTTTGGCCCGAGAAGTCTGGTTTGTGTTGTTCTGTATAGGCTTGTCAACTGCTCAACTCAGTCTAGTCATAATTTTCCTGGGCTTTTTTTTTTTATCTCTCATTGTCTATCTAATGAGGAAAAAAGGGGGAGGATTAAAATTAAGTCGAAATCCTTAACTCTTATTGACTGCATATTTTATCAAGCTTAAATTTTTGAGTATCGCATTCAAGGGTCTCTAAAATTGAGTTAAGAGACAGATCTTGAAGGAGCTGGGGATAAAAATGATCAAAATGCATTGTACAAAATTCTCAAAGAATTCATAAAAATATTTTTTAAAAAAGAATTGCCTGTCTAAGAATCCATGACAAATTAACGTGGAACAGTGACTTTCTATCCTTTTCTATCTTACAGACTTCCCCATTTGAGTTATGAATAGACTTTCCCTCCATTTACCCATCACAAAAGGCTCAGCTTAAACCCTCTCTCTGTGACTCTCCAGGACTAAAGCGAGCAATATTAAGCATGAATATAATGAAGAAGCTCCTCTAGCACGTTGCAATGGTTAATATTTCCCGAGTCCACTGGATAGGACCATAATATCCAGATATTAGATCAAACATTATTCTCAATGTTGCTGTGGAAGTATTTTTAGATGTGATTAATGCTTAAATCGGTGGACTTTGAGCAAAGCCGATTATTCTCCATAGTGTGGACAGACCTCATCCAATCACTTGACGGTTTTAAATAGGAAAGGACTGATCTCCCCTGAAGAAGAAAACATGCTGCTGCAGATTGCATCTGGACTCAGGCTCCAACGCTAGCTTTCCCTGCACTGTAGCCCAGTGACCTGCACTGTGCATACTTAGCTTGGCAGCTGTCTCCACAATTTTTAAAGCAACTTGCCTTCCTTCCTTTCTTCTTTCCTTCCTCTTATCCACGATTCTTTCTTCTCTCTCTATCTTTCTATCTCTCTTCTTTCTGTCTATGTGATTTCAACTATGTAGCCCAAGCCAGCCTGGGACTTGGAATCCTCTTATCTCTGCTTCCTGAATACTGAGATTACAAGTATGAACCACCAGGCTCAGCAATCCAGTTTCTCTCATTCTCATCGTATACACGCAAGGACATACATGCATGTGCGTGCATGTGTGTGTGCGCACACACACACATCCCTAAGGGCAAGACACTCTCTGACATGTTTCTTTTAGAATGTGACTTTCCTATGAATCTTCCCCTAGATTTTACTCAGGTTTCAAATCTACTATTAATTTACGTTAGGGAAACAGAGGAACGCCATGGCACCATCCTCCCCTGCTAGGGATGAGCTGAGCTGAGCCCACCATTCCATCACCCACAGCGTCTTGTCTTACACTGTGCTGTCCCCACGGGACAGCTTCCATCTTCTATGTCCGTTTCCGCCAGTAGCCTTTTACCCACTGAATCTCCCATTTCTCCCTCAGAATGCACAGAGCACGGCAGAGAGACGCACTCGGTGATCACAAGCAAACACGCGCTGGAGGTTGAGCCCCTGACATTCCTTCGTCTCCAAGGTCCCACTAAATGGATGCCGAGGATAACTTTTTCTCCTCTCAACTTCTTTCACTGGCTTTTCGTCTGTGTGAAGTCAGAGTCTCAGATGCAGCTGGCCACCGTTTCTAATCGTTATTCATGGTGTGGTTTGCAGTTTCTTGTTTTGTGTTGAAATGAGGCCTCTTCGTTAGCTAAAAACTCTGGTGAGATCTTCCTGCCTAAGCCTAAGCCTATCAAGGAACCGGGAAGCCATCGCCACACCCAGTTCTCCGGTGTAGTGTTGACCCTAGGGTCCACTATGAGTTAGCAGCCTCTCTGGGGAAGAGGCTGTGCTTATATGGGTGTGCAGATGTGAGTGTGGTTGTCACCTCACTAGGTAGACTTTATCATGGCTATTCTGATATTCAGCAGGAGCCAGTACATTAATCACAATCTGATGGTTAAAGTGTCACCCGGCTGAGACTCCAACTCGGGGCTTCTGGCTCGAAGTCCACACATTTGCCCTTACTTCAGCTGCTTTCTGAAACCACCAGAGTGGGACTGAAGAGGGAAGTGCTGCTTGCCCCTGTCCCTGTTGTCTTAATTTGTCAGAGGAAGCACTCCATGTGTGTTAATGAGGACAGCGGAAGGAAAGAGAAGTAACAAATAATGGGGACCCAGACTCGGCTGCCAGCTGAACAAAGACCTCCACATGAAATGAAAATGTCATGAAACCAGGGATGTAAAACACGGGATATCTGTATAGAAAAGCAGATCAGAATGGAATGTATTTTCAGTAGGAAGGGTCTTGACTAGTTGTGTAGAAACACACATCCAGGCACCATCCAAATTAGTGATTTATCAAATCACTAGAATGTTCTGTTTGCTGTGCCAAGCATATTTTAAGCATGTTAAGGGTTTTTTTTATGTAATAATAGGTAAGGGTTATCCATCTTTATCATTTTTTACCTACAGAATTTGATTCAGGATGCCAACATCTTTGCCTGTGGGGTTAGCATATACCACGACTCTGCCCAAGATTCTGTGATCTACCTACATATACTTTAGCTTTGGGACAGAAGACAAAGGCAAGACTTTGAGGAGCTGAACAGGAACAATTATCTTTCTGAAGAATCAGGCTGTACACCAAATGCACGAAACCAAGGTTTAGTAGACGTCATCCTCAGAATACAGAAAACAACCCAAAAGCTATGGGGAGTCCATGCACCCTGGCAGGGATTTTTCCACATGCAGTTGTCTACTGTGTGTCTGCTTTGACACCTTGCACTAGACTCTCAAGTCCAGAGCCCTAAGCAAAAAACTGTGTGAGAAGCTCTCCAGCTAATCCCCAGCTTAGACTTTCTTTTCCTGGTGCCCTGTCCTAGCTAGCACCTGCTGAGCAAATGAATAATTCCCTTCGCTCATTTGCATTGTTACCTGAAAGGTATTTATAGTCTGTGATCATCTGCCCCCTGAGTCCTCTCCTTCTCTAGTCTATAATTTAGCATTAGGCCCAGTCTGTTTCCAGAATTGAGCATGCCCAGGAGTTCTGCTTCTAGAATGAATGCCAGCAAGGACTGCCACCTCCTATAAGCCTTAGGGATGATTCAAAATGGGAGGAGGTTGGGGAAGGACGGAGTGGGGGGGGGTGCCACTTTCAGATTGGTCTTGGTTCTCTTTATTGAAAGTTGTATCTTATGTCTGTTGAGTTGGAAGAGATTTGTCCAGATGGCTGTATGTGTGTGTGTGTGTGTATGCGTGTGTGTGTGCGCACGTGTGTGTGCGTGTGTGTCTATGTCTGCATGCACACAAGTGCACTGAATGCACACAGAAAAGCAGAGCAGAAAGGCAGAAGTTGATTTTCCTTTGTCCACAATCTATTTCTCTGCTCTTTATGGCTCCATTCACTACTCTATTGCAACACTTGAAGATGACAAAAGCCAAAAAGCTATGAGAAAACAAAAGCACAGGACACCACGAGATAGCACACTAACAAAACAAAGCCCAGGAAAGGCTCTTACAGCACATCTTTCTGAGATTCCGAGGCCACAGCCCAGTGCAATATAGGAAAATTATCTACAGGATCTGGAAGAGGACAGCAGTTCAGGACAGCTATTTAAAAAGACTGTAAGAGAACACCTACAGATTGAGCTAAGAAACTTTGCGGAAATTTATCTGGAGGTCATCCAAGGCAGTATGTTCAGCTTTTCCTATGATTTGGAGGTAAAAAAAAGTTGTTGTTTTCAAATGACAATTTCTGAGCAAATAGAATTGAGACTATTTTGAACTTAAGGCTAGTCACACCATGTACTGAGCACTACCGTGACAAAGAGTTGACAAAAATACTTCATTGTTCCCCTTTCTGAGAAGTCTCTATTTTGTCTCGCACTGATAAATTAACTTCGTCAAACAGATTTTCACTTAAAAACAAGAGAACTGACAGTCAGTGTTTGGGGAGTATGACTACAGTACCAAGACAAATCTCCAATTTCAGGTTTCCTTTTGCTTCCAAGCAAAGCTGTCCACACAGTGGAGAAGTCTGGCAGGTGTTAACTTGACCAAGAATAAAGTTTACTGTTGCCAAGGTGAAAAGGTGGTCACCATGCTCCCCCGGAGATACACTCAGAGAGCACATCATCACAGTTGCGATGTTTCTGTAAAGATTTCCCTCCTGGGGCAGGATGTAAGGAAGTACCACACAGACTCAGGTCAAGGGTCCCCTTCCTGAATGTGCTAGCAAATATCCTTCAAGTTTGACATGGTCCTGAGAGACAGAATACTGGCGTATTGTTATGAATTAAGGGAGAGAAAGAGGCTTGGCAACTGAATTTGATGGATTTTCTTGGAAAAGATTTTGAGCCAGAAAGAAAGACGTGTCACTGTTGGGAAAGAGTGACAAAGAAAGAGCAGGCTTTGTGGAATGGATGGTTGGGGTGATATCAATATTGATCACCTGGTTGTAGTGATCAAAGAACGATAAAGAAGATGGAATTCCTACTGAAGAGAAGCAAACACTGAAATACATAGGGAGGATGATGACTTCATATCAGGCAAAATTTTAGAAGGCAGAATCCAGAAGCAAAGGACCAAAGATTAACAGGATGTGGCTACCCAGGGACCAGGAACACATCTGCCTACTTTGTTCTCTACTTGTAGAGTTTTTCCCAAGCACCCCCTTTCTCTAGTCATGGACCTCTAGTGCTGGTTCACAGACATCTCAGTTGGCCCTTGATGTGGGATTCTCCTCTGTATGCTGTGAATATGTTTTATTACCATTGGTTAATAAAGAAGCTACTCCAGCCTATGGCAGGACAGAATAAAGCCATGTGGGAAATCCGAACAGAGATAGAGAGAGAGAGAGTAGGTGGAGTCAGGGAGATGCCATGTAGCTGCTGAAAGAGACAGGCACAGGAACCTTACCAGTGGGCCACAGACTCGTGGTGATACAAAGATTAATAGAAATGGGTTAATTTAAGGCATAAGAATTACTTAATAGGAAGCCTGAGCTAATAGGCCAAGAAGTGCTGGAATTAATATAGTTCCTGTGAGATTATTTGGGTCTGGACAGCTGGGAACGAAAGAGCAGTCTCTATTTACAGGCTCTTATATAATCCTCAAGTTCATCAACAACAGAGTTCCTTCTATGGATACAAGAGACATCCTTCTATGGATACAAGAGATACTGGAAAATACCTTTGAGAACCAAGGTAATCACTCTCTATGTTCAGAAGTCCCCAAACTGACGTCTATAATATGATGCAGTTATAGCCCTCATCACAGGGACAGTAAGAACACTTGCCATGGAGAAAGGGCTATTTCCTACCATCTGAAGAACTGAGCCTCTTTATACCTCTCGGCATCCCTCCCCCACTCAAAATGAAACTATGCCCCTTTGAGCCCCCAAACAGCTTGTGTGGAGGATGGAGACTTATTATAAGTGAAATTCCATAGCCAAGTATAACGCAATGTGCTTATAAAATATAAAGTCCTTAAATATTGTCATCAAGATGAGTCATAAATCAGACATTTCATAGTTCCTGATTATAAACTCCTTTTATTCTGTGAGCGTGTAAAGAAAGAACACTGGCGCATCAACAAAAATGTAAGCATGTTCAAGAGGGGGTTTTCGCTAGTGTTTTGAGAGCACCTGTTGCTGCGGGAAGAGGGGGTATGACTTTCTGGGCTCCTGCGCTCTGTGGGTGCAGTACCTATTAGGGTCTATCTATGATCTTATCCAAATTAGGACTTTTGTCCAAATTCTTGCTGGAAGTACACTCGAACAAGATTTGTCCTTGTAAATTCGCAAGTCGGGTAGCAACATGAGGAGGACCGGCGGAAGAAGGCTGTGTCTCCCCAGGAGAACGCTCTGACCAATGCAGGTCCTTAATAGAAGCAGGAATGTAATATGAAGTACCAAGGTACAGCTGTTTTAAGTCAGGTTAGGGAGGCACAATTCCAGAAAAACAAGTATCGGTTTAATAAAAATCATTGTGTGTGTGTGTGTGTGTGTGTGTGTGTGTGTGTATTCATATAGCACTTTGCCATTTACACATGTTATTTCATTAAATCTTGCGCTACCTCCCCCCTGACATCGCCATTGTTATTTTCATTCTGTAGACATAAGAGAGGACCGTTTCTCACATCGCCTGGCCCTTCCCAGCTCCTGCTGATGCTTTACTCGCAAGCACCATCTCTTTTCAAGGCAGTTCCAGCAAAAGGAAAATGAAAACATGGTCTCCCGTTCTTCAATAGTGGTGCAATTTGACCTGCTTTTGGCACTGCAGTGCCTTGTATGATATTCTTCTAACAGATTCGTCTAATTATGTTTTGCTTGGGCTAAGATTAAAATTAATTGGTCTTTTCACAATCAGACATCAGAAGAGTAATAGGGCCAGACACCTGAGAAACAACTAGGGATTAAAGATCGGCTGTGGATAATCCACAATGCAGAGTCTCAAGGTGGTGTAAGGTGAGGAGAGGGTGCTGAATAGTCTTTTCGTGAGTGGCTAGTAGCTTGTTCATTTGCTGACAACTTTATCACAAGCTCTGTGTGACAGTATGTGACCACAGCTGCTGCCTTACATGCAGGCACAACACATACACCACACACACACACACACACACACACACACACATACACACGCACGCGCGTGCATGCACCCAGATAGAGAAGGAGACAGAGAATGACAGAGATTTACAGAAACAGACAGAGCAAGCAGAAACAGAGACTGGGAAAGACAGACACTAGATGGGAGAGCCCCAGTATGCTGCCTTGTACCATACTCACACTGCTGGATAGATTTGAAGGCCTGTGGACTTTCGAAGGAAGAATAGATAAATCATTTCAGATAAGGAAAAAAGGGTAAAAAAAAAAGATGTTAGAGGAAGAAAATCTACTTTCTCCCCCCTCCAAATGCCACAAGAAAATGTCAAGGAAATTGCTTTAGTGGAAATAACAGAGGAGTTCAAAACAAAATTGGCAAGTGTCACTCCCTCGGCCTGCTCTCCCTTGCCTGGGAGGTGCCTTGCTACCTCTGCTCCATTTGCCCCTAGGATGCCACTTCTCTGTCCTCCAGAGGAGACAGGACTGAAAAACAACCCTCGGAAAGCCTTTCAGTAAAGAGAATAATAGAGAATCTAAACAAAGAACAGAAAAAGGACTGAAGGAGAGATTTTCTCGGCTAGCTGGCCACTTCCTGTTTCAGGACAATATCCATGAAAGTGAGGGTTGCCTTCATTTTGAATGACATCACTATCAAAAGCTCTTGTTTAGTGGTTAACTCTGTAGGACAGGTCACAGGTCACCACCAATAGGACACTTTATAAATACACTTCCGCCTTTGGCTTTCCTGTAACCTCCCGGCATTTCACAATCCTCTGAGAGATTGCCCTGATTTACTCAGGTATTCCTACCTGTTTTCTTTGTAAGTTTTCTATTTCACACATTATGAGTCACTATGGTGCTTATCTGAAGGCCACAGAGAACAAGACTTTCCCCATTATGGTGAATGAACCCATTCATTTATTCAGTCATTCACTTATTCATTCAATACACAAAAACGGAGAAAGAAAAGATCACAGTCGTTGAACATCAGGTTATCAGCTAATCTGTAAAAAAAAAAAAAAAGAGAAATGAACAAACCTCAAATCCTACCCTCAAAAAGCATGTGCACTGTTCTAGGAAGTGATTTAATCCTTTCAAAAACTTTCACATGTAATTAAACGTTCCTTTCATGAAACACTATACTAAACTCAATACATAAATAGGGGAAGTTGAATGTATGCAGATGAATGTAGACAGACCAGG